TGATGGTGGGTTTAAACCAGTAGATAAGTTATTTACAAAAGCGTGCGTTTGACTTGTAACAGTTTCATCCTGCCAAAATTTATTTGGTGTATGACCCTCGTTGATCCATGTTTCATCAAGATAAAATATTTTTCTTTTTTGCTTTCTCATTTCCTTTATGGTTCTTAGAAAATGTCTTCTCCATATGACAATATCGCTTCTTTCTAATAAAATAGACTTTCTGGGATTCTTTTTCCAGCGGAAGCCTATTTCTTTTAAAAGTTTCCATAACGTACTTCGACTCATTTCTGGGTAATCCTTATCATCTCGAACTGAGACAAGAACTTTATCCAATGTTGGAAATTCTTGTCTAAAGAAGAATTCATGCACTTTCCGTCGAAGTCCTTCTTTAAAATAATATTCTATTTGAAATTTTGGTTTCCCTGGAGCATTACGTGGCATTTGAAAACTACCACATTTCTCTTCTTTAATAACTCTGTAAATCGTAGATTTTCCAACACCAAGTGTACTGCTAACTAACTCAACGGTCTCATCAACACTTTCACATAAACGTTTGTCTGTAAATGATTTAAAACAATTAAATATTAATGTTTTTTCATTAACTGTTAAAGGACCAATTTTTCGGCGTTTACACGGCACTTCCAAATTTTCCATAACACTAGTATACACAATAAACTGCACCTTGCAACTGAAGTACCTACTTTTAGTGAACTGTCAAGAATTTTGAATACGCCACTTGGACCTTCCTACAAAATGGAAAAACCCACTATCACATTTTCTGTGGAATAAGTTTAGAAGGTAATTATCTAGTCAATTACTGTCGTAGATTCATGGAATTAAAGAATTAAATGTTTGATTGTTGAAACCCTTACTTCGTGGAATGCACTCATTTCAGATAAAATAAAACGTTTTATTTTATCTAAACAATTAAACTTTATTTTGCAAATAGGTAGGTACTTATTAAATTTTTATTGGTTATATATAACCAATAAAATAAACATCTTACATTTCTTGCAAATTCATTAGTACCTGTTAACCTCCATCACTCCGACACTGGCAAACTTATTTAGGGATTAGTTACCCTCACAACTATTGTATTCTATTCTGCTCTAACCTTTATACCTGGTGGTCATACTCAATTTAAAATTGTTTTCCTATATATATATATATATATATATATATATATATATATATATATATATATATATATATACATATATATATATATATATATATATATATATATATATAATATACTTCTGTAAACTTGTTGACAAATATCTGTTTTTCATTGAGTCACCCGTATCAACAATTTAGGGATTTGCATACGTAATTTATTGTTTTATTACTCTCTCATACATAAAAATACACTATAAGAAACGCTGCTATAGTTGATGCAGCGATGACTTACTCGAATTTGTAAAGAATCCTAGTGACACTAGATTGTGTAAACGTACTACAAAAATTTAGGTCCTTTTTTGAACCGAGCTTGTTTCATTTTCCTTATTTTTGCAAAATGTTGAGATTATATAAGTGCTTATTGTGACCTTCCTGTCATTCTTATAATCCTGTACGCCTGTCTGTACTTATATTTAATTTTTATTATTTTATATTAACAATTTAACTAATACTTTGGTGTTTTTGTATTATTGCAAATTTTTAAAACTGTTTTACACATAGTAAATTCTTGTCTATAAAGATTATTAAAGCGCTGTATATTTGTCTAATAGAACAGAATAAGAGATCCTAATATTATTGACTAAGAAACTAGCATAAAGCTTTTCATGAGAAAACGTAATATTATTGACTAAGAAACTACTTCATTATCACATTAAGCACTCGCTGCCAATCAACAGTTTATTTGCTCAACCACACATCACTCAAGTTTATTATTCTCTTCCTACTAATTGAATATACAACATGTTTCCTTTATTTTATAAACCATCATTTTAACAAATTTCTAAAATTCTGAAGCTGCTATTTACTTTTGTTGTTTATTTTTGTTTCTTTACACATGTGTGAAGATAATTTTTAAGTTTGTCAGCTATTTATAGACAAGGGCTTTGTTTACCGTTAAAGCAAATAAAGGCGTTAATAGGTAAAGGTATCAAGATATTGCTTTTTTTTTTTCTTTATTAAAAAATTCTTGAAAAGATACTCTCTCATACGCGTTTTCAAATGCTTGAAAACGCGTATAAGATTAAGAGGATGAGACAAAGAACGAAGGTTAAGGCACAAAATAAGTAAAGAGATTTCAGTTTAAATATTATTTTAAAAATCAATGTTTGACAGAGAAAAGACAGTGTAAATATTAAAAACATTTAAATTCCTTTCTTAGTTTTCTTGTTATCTTATGTTTTCTTCTTTGCATGCCATATCAGAATTATCCGACGTTGGCGATCACCATTGCGAAGGTTTGTCGATCTTCGGCAATATGAAATAATTTTCTTGCATTTGATATCTGAGTCCATTCACGAATGTTTTTTAACCAAGAAACTTGTTTTCTTCCTACACCTTTACGGTCCTCTATTTTGCCTTTAAGGATCAGTTGTAATATTTTATATCGACTTTCCCTTACTATATGTCCTAGATAAGACATTTTCGATGTTTAACAGTATTTAGCAGTTCTCTACCTTTGTTGATGCTCCTTAGTACTTCTTCATTAATTTTCCTTGCAGTCCAAGGTATTGTACCGTTTTTAAATAAAACGAGCGGTTCGAATTTATATAAATATATTTATTTATAACTTTATAGTTCGGTATTCTCTTATCAACTAAACTACCTCAATCATCGTTACTTATATATATACAAATTATAATGTTCCAGAAAATTCGGGAGTGTCCACCTCTAATTCGTGTCGTCGTAAGCCCATCGAAGACGTGCGCTATTGACATGCCAACTCTTCGAGCTTTCTAGAATTATCGTTCTAAGAATTGTGACACATCTGAGATCGGCTATTTCGTTACACTGCTCCCCTCTTAGATCTGAGCGTCCCGATCAGGAACTATATCTCCAGCTCTGCATAAACCCCCCAGAAAGAAATAACAGTCTACTGTCTTTGAAGGACACCATCCCTTTGGATTAATGCAACCGGTGTAAGAATTACTGTGTGTTGCATTAATCCGAAGAGATCGTGTCCGTCAAAGACAGTAGACTGTTATTTCTTTCCTGACTTAGTAGATAGAATTCCTGATCGGGACACTCAGATCTAAGAGGAGAGCAGTGTAACGAAATAGCCGATCTCAGATGTGTCACAATTCTTAGAACGATAATTCTAGAAAGCTCGACGAATTGGCATATAAATAGCGCACGTCTTCGATGGGCTTACGACGACACGAATTAGAGGTGGGCACTCCCGAATTTTCTGGAATATTATAATTAGGCCCAGGATGGCGGAATCTACAGGACTCTCCAGCTCTGCATGAACACCACACCTGACACCAACTGTACCGTTTTTAAATAAAACGTGCGGTTCGAATTTATATAAATATATTTATTTATAACTTTACAGTTCGGTATTCTCTTATCAACTAAACTACCTCAATCATCGTTACTTTATATATATATATATATATATATATATATATATACAAATTATAATGTTCCAGAAAATTCGAGAGTGCTTACCTCTAATTCGTGTCGTCGTAAGCCCATCGAAGACGTGCGCTATTTATATGCCAATTCTTCGAGCTTTCTAGAATTATCGTTCTAAGAATTGTGACACATCTGAGATCGGCTATTTCGTTACAGTATCTTCAGCATTTGTCTATAAACCCACATTTCCAATGCTTCAATTTTTTTCATGATCGATACTTTTACCGTCCACACTTCTGCACTATACAAAAGTAGGGACCAAACATAGCACTTAACCACTTTTTGTCGTAGTTTTAAACTGAAATGATTATTGCAAAGACATGACTTCATTTTTATAAAAGTAGATTTAGTCATTGCTACTCTAAATTTTATTTATATGTCTAGATCTAGTTAGTCCGTTATCACAGTTCCCAAATATGTCATTTTGTGAATTTTCTTAACTTGGACTCCGTTTGATTGAAGCTTTGCATCGGCATGTGGGTCACAACTAAACACTAAAAATTTGGTTTTGTTTCAGTTTATTTTAATGCCCATTTTCTCTCCTACATTGTGAATGCGATCAAGCAGAATTGGAAGACGTTCAATTTTCTCTGACAGAATTACCGCATTGTCTGCATATCTACTCACATTAAGTAGTTCCCCGTTGATTTTTATTCCATATGGTTGTCTCTCAAGTGCCTTTCTAAATAACTGGTCCGCGTAAACATTAAACAATGTTGGCGACAAAATGCAACCTTGTTTGACTCCTTGTTGTATGGAGATATCGTCGATGTAATTATCTCCAATTTTTACGATAGCAGTTTGATTCCAATACAAATTTTTAATGACACGAATATCCTTGTCATCTATTCCGATATTTTTCAGTATTTGCAATATTTTTACATGCTGTACTTAATAGAATGCCTTTTTGAAGTCCACGAAACATGCAAATACATCTTTTCTTTGGTCGCGGCATTTTTGTAATAAGATGTTAAGCGCAAAAAGTGCCTCGATGGTCCCCTTAGCATTTCTAAGTCCAAATAAGGTATCTTCGAGATCTTCTTCGCATTTGCGTCTAATTCTGTTGTGAAGTATTCTTAGGAAAATTTTAAGAGTGTGGCTCATTAGGCTAATTAATCGATATTCTGAGCATTTTTTCGCATTGTGTTTTTTGGGTATTGCGACAAAGATGGATTTGAACCAATCTGTGGGAATCACTCCGGTGTTATATATTGAAATAAAAAGTCTTACTACTACTTTTATGTTATCATCCTCTATTAGTTTCATCAACTCAGTTGGTATATCATCTAGACCACTAGCTTTTCTAATTTTAGCATTATGTATAGTGTTCTACCTCGCATTTCATAATTTCTATGCCGTCAGTACATCATCATCATCACACAGCCAAATTTGTCCACTGTCGAACATAGGCCTCCTCAAGATGTCTCCACTCTTCTCTGTCCTGTGCAGCTGCGATCCAGTTTCTCACTATTCTTTTAATGTCTTCCGTCTATCTGGTAGGTGGTCTTCCACGATTTCGCTTGTCTGCCCTTGGCCGCCATTCTAAAATCTTCTTTGTCCATCTGTTGTCTGTCTGTCTTGCGACGTGTCCTGACCATTTCCACTTCAACTTCGTAATCCGTTTTATGACGTCTTCCACTCAAAGTTACGCCAAGCATAGATCTTTCCATTTTTCGTTGTGCTACTTGTAACTTTTTTATTGATGCTTTAGTCAATGTCAGTGTTTCAGCTCCAAAAGTGAGCACCGGAAGTACGTACTGGTTAAATGCTTTTCTCTTTAGCTTTATTGGGATGTTTTCCTTAAACACGTCTTTTATCTTGCCAAAGGTTGCCCATCCTAAAGCTATTCTTCTAGATAATTCGCATGTTTGGTTGTCTCTACTTATTTGTATTTCGTGGCCCAGATATATGTATTTGTCAACCGTTTCAATATTCCAGTTTTCTAGTTTCAATGGTCCACTAGGTACTAAGTTGGTCATCATTTTAGTTTTCGCAAAGTTTATTTCCAGCCCTACTTTTTGGGAGACTCGTTGTAAATCTTGTAGCATTTCGTTAGCCTCCTTTAAGTCGTCGGTTATTAGAACTATGTCATCTGCAAATCGTAGGTGGTTCAGCCTTTCGCCATCGACACTCAAACCGTCAGTACAGTTTTGCTAGAATTCGGCAATATTATTTCTATCATCTTCAAACAACTCTGATATATACAGCTGCCATTATTTTCTTATTTCGTGCTCATTTACAATAATTTTGTTATTATTGTCAACGAGTACAGAGGGAACTCGTTTTTAAAATATGCTACTGATTTCTTTTAGTTTTTTGTGCACATTAAATAAGTCGTGTTTAGATATCACATCCTCCATTTTATCGCACCTTTCTCTTATCCATTTTCTTTGGCTAATTTGATCTCCCGTTTTATTCTTCTCTGCGGGTGCCTATATTCTGTTTCATTAGATTTTATCAGTCGACGTTATTCCATTAATTTCAAGTTTTTTCTATAATCATTGTTTGCGGAGATTTCGTTAATTTGGATTTTAAATTCACTCCATAGTTCTTCTGGATCTTCTAGTTGTTCTCCGATGTTTTTTATTCTATTACTAAATTCTTGTTTAATTTTATGTTTTATGTTTATATCGTCAAAGTTAAATACATTGGTTTTTGGTTTTTGTCTCTGAATTCGTTTTCACCTTGGTTTAATATCTGCTACAAGTGGTTGATGATCAGATCCAATATCTGCTCCAGGAAATGTAGTGACTTTTTTGACGGCATATAATCGTCGCTTGGGTAGTTTATACCAGTTGTTTGCAAATGGTCATATCATCTTCTTTACAAAATTCATACAATCTCTGTCCTCGATCGTTAGGTTGTCCTAGACTATAAGGACCTACAGTCTGACCTTCTCGACCTTCCCCAATTTTTGCATTGAAGTCGCCTATAATATATAAAATTTCGTATTTATTAACTTTCTGTAAGATATCTTGGATCTGATCATAAAAGTTCTTGACTTCATCGTCATATTTTCTATCTGCAGTCGGGGCATAGATTTAAAATATGTTAGTTTTAAATGGTTGAGTTTTTATTTGGAGTAATATTATTCTATCCGAGACTGTTACGAAATTGGTCACATATTTACTCAGTTCTGATGTTACTCTTATTGTAGCGTTTTATAATTAATGTTTAAATAATAATATAAATTCGATTCTATATTTGTCATAGTACGCCCCTGGTATGCTAGAAATGTGTTGTCTGTAGAGATTTTTAAATACGCAATAATTCTTCAATAAATAAAGACGTATTTGCTAAGGAAAACAATTTATGGCTTTTTACTTCAACGTTCCCAGAAAAATATTGCAAGCCTGGTATTCTTTTTTCTAAAGCGTAATAACGCCGGAAGTTTGGACGAGTTTGAGTAAAGATTTTGTTGATTTGACAAGATAGCAATGCTTGTGCGGGGAAAAGAGAGGCCGTATCTATCCGACAGTTTGAGATCTAGAGGTCAAGAAGGAGTGATGAAGAATTGCTCGAAGGGAAAGGTCGTTTAATTGTGATGTGGTAACCCGGCATTAATTCGCCAAAAATGGTGGAATTTTCACTCTATGTAATATGTCGTATTTGAAAGAGTGACCACTAACCACTGTTTTGATTTTGCTGAAGATTTATAATGTTTGAGAAGTGAACCAGTTTAGTTCCTGCTTTCTTTTCGTTTTTCTTGAGAAATCCAGTTCCTTTACAAGATGCCTCTTCACCTCACGTAGAATGATATTGGAGCAGGTTTGATTTGAATGTGCCAGTGTGTCAGTTTCAGCCTCCAATAAAGCTTTCCGTTCATGATGTTTAGCTAGATACCCCACAGATATTAGACAGTTGTTCAAAAGTTTACGAGAGGCCTCGTGGTATAAATATGTTTCTCCTCTCCTGCCGAATATTGGCCTCCGCTTTCCATGATTAGTAACGGTTTGCAATTGCAGTGTCAATTCTATGGTGATTTTTCTGGGGGTGCTCTATGAGCCGTTAATGCAGTGGTTCCCCTTTGCCTTTTGCATTCTTATGCCGCTGGCCATTATTTGTTGGTTCATCCGCCTTCGGGGCCAATTTCTCAACGCCAGGACAAAAGAATGCCCTATGTTATCTTATCACATTGTTTATTTTTAAATACTTCAGCGAATCGAATCTAGAAAGCTTTGATCCTCGTTTTGGCACTATGCCTCTTCAAGGAATGGTCTCCCTTTTTTTACTAGAGTTAAGCGGGAAGAGCAATATCCGTTGCAAGGAGAAAGTGGCAGTATGCTGCTAGTAGAGTGGAAGAAAGCCGAAAATGGGTGGAGGTTGTATTTTGTGGGTAACAAAGTCAAATAAGTCTCGAGAAGAAAGCACCTTCGCTGTTACCTGCCATACGATGGGAACGGCACTTAGATCAGCGTTTTTGGAGTACAGCTTATTCTATCTGCAAGATTTTATGGGAGTAGCTTCTAGAACACCATGGTACTTATCAGGAAGTTCGTTATCAGTCAAATATCATAAGTAGTTACCTAACGAACATCATATTGTGTAATTACCAGTAGCTGTCAAGAAAATCAACATTTTCTGCATAATTTTAACCATTTATTATATTAATCATCGTCGATCGACAAGAAGCGGACAAAGGGGCTTTATAAAACGATTCGAACCCCATAACTACGTTCGAATCTTTCCACCAAATTTAACGTTTATTTAAGTAATCTTGCAGTTTGTCAGCGTCTACTTTCGTTGTTCCTTCATTACTCAATATGCAGATTACTTTAATTAAAACTTTTATATCTCTCAATATAAAAAATTATAATCAAATAAATATTTGACTAAACATCTCTTTAATACCAATATGCATACATAGTCAAAAGAACGAGAATTAATCACACTTACCTTATTGGTCGTTCTACCAGAATTATTTTGTTATTTACCAAAATAAAGGAACATTATTAGAGCAATTAAACAATATAAATTTGTTATCAACTAGTTGTTTTTATTACTAGCTCTAACATAAATTTAACTGGACATAATCAGTTACATCTTACAAACAAATGTCTATTACAAATGAATAACTTTTTATATCTTTATCTAATGTTAAATATTAACTTATCTTAATGACCTAGTACAACTGGTCATTGAATTATATAATATTTGCATATAAGACGATCTCAATAAAAAGACTATTAAAAAAGTAAAATTAAAATTGAACTTGGTCATTATCATATCATAATGTGCAGTTATGAGAATTTACGCTTTTTATAATCGACGTACAAATTTTGTGTTGCACATAAAAAACAAAGATTATTCAAAAATAATAAAAAAATTAGGGACATTCACTATAAAAAAAACGGACCACTGCACTGCACTAAGTACACATGAAAAACATAAAAACATTGACAGTGATATTGCCTTTTTCGCAATCACAAAATATTCAGCATAGTGATTAAATCTGTTGTAGCAGGTCATAAAAAGGTAAAACTTACGAGGAATTGTACTTTTACCATCATTAAAGATGAACTAAATGGCACTAACTTAAAATGTTTTGTTATTTCAATTATGTTTAGCTACTACATACTTCACTTTAAATCACTATTTTACTTCATATTTAATTAACTGCTATTAACAGACATTTCTGATAAGATGTAAAAAAGATCAGCCAATCGTTGGCCTATCCTTATTCAGAATTCCGCAATTATTTTAAAATTTCCATAACAGAGAGAGAGATGAATTGAAGAGCGAGACAGTAAATAAATCATTTAATTAACTTTGTATCGACAGACCTGAAGATGCTTTGCAAATTGTAGAAAGCGAAACCGTTCGTCTAGATAGTTAAATTAAACTGATTGTGAGTAAGTCGTATTTATTATTTCTGTTACCTATTTGAAATGGACTCACACAAGCAACACATTCATGATTTAAATAAATCTCCTTGGAATCGGCACTTGTCAAATATAAACAGACTCCTGAAGTTTCTTTACGTTTAATATTTTAAAACGCAAAAAGACAGAAACTATACCGATTTTGATGATGTACAGAGCGAAAGAAAATGCTACAGTTCTGTTAACCTATTTTAATATAATTTAATTTTAATATAGATGATGAAAGACAGGTTTTGTAAATACTGTCTGTTTATAATCGATATTTATTTTTAAATTAGGTAATAATGTTATTCTATAGAAATTGCAAAATTCAAAAAAAAACAATTTATGTGTACAATCACTTTTAATCTCTTGATATTTTCAAATAATTTCCAGTCTACACTTAATATACATTTTCCTGTCTATATGTTACCATCTTTTGTTGCCTAAGAGCAAAAGTATTTTTGTATTGAGGCCTTCGACATCTCCCTATAAATCTAGGGCATATATCGTCTCGATCAACTTTTACTTCTATTGTAGAGCTTGAACGGATAACTGTCGTCGGTGCTAAACCTAATTGGTAACATTTGGATAAGTTTTTTAGTCTAGTCGAAGAAATTTTATCGCTGAAATAAGGTTTATCTTGAAGTCCTTCCATGGGTTTGTTGCAAATTGAGCACCTGAAAAGAAATATATATTATAACTGGATAGTCAATAGAAAAAACTTTACAGATTCTCGTTCGAACCTCCGAACAGTAAACATATCAGCAATTAGCAATAATTGATTTTTAATATTAGCTTGTTAGTTTGGACAAAATAAGGAATGTTTTTTATTCAAGTGTAGAATTTTATTTGTATATAAAATTTAATCAAAGGTGCAGTGTAAAAGTGTTACTTCTTCTTGATTAAAAACTGTAAATCTGATTTTCCTATTTCATCTATAACAAATCAAGGGTATACAACTATTTTGCCAATTAGGCGTAAGGTTAATTACCAGTCCTTCCGGTAATGATCCATAACAATCCTGATGCAATAAGCACCAGGGTCGTATTCAAGTTATTTAGCCCAAGCATGGAAATGGATTCAGCAACGGGAACTTCCACCATGGAAATTTCTGGCGATCTACTTGTAAACTAACCATTAAAATTATATTCTACAGCTCTTAGTCAACCTACAAATAAATTCCCAAATAAAAAATCAGCAATTCTACTTCACTCACTCCCAGACTCCTGAATATTGAAGTTTACCTTAATGCAGGAACTTCTAAAGTGGATCCCAGAAAAAAAACATTCCATTTCTAAAATTACAAATGATCGTATTTGAATCTTCTTCACCAGTAAACAGACTTCTTCTTCTAGTTCCATGACCGTTATCGATCGTTGTATATCATGTTGGCTACCATATTCGCTATCGTGACTTTATTGACAGCAGCTCTAAATAACGATGTAGTTGATTTTTCATACCATTGCCTTAGATTTTTCAGCCATGATGTTCTTCTTCTACCAGGACCACGATTACCTTGGATCTTTCCCTGAATGATCAGATGTAAAAGATCATATTTTTAAGAGTGTCTCATAATATGACCGAAGTATTCCAGGTTGCGTTTCTTTATTATATTGACCAGTTGTGTTGTTTGGTTCAGCCGTCTAAGGACCTCCTCATTTCTAACTCTGTCGACCCAGCTTATTTTCAGTAGTCGTCTGTATACCCACATCTCAAAGGCTGTCAAGCGTTTAAGCATAGCCTCAGTTAGGGTCCACGCTTCTACTCCATACAGCAGGACAGGAAAGATGTAGCAAGATATCATACGAACTCTAAGGTCAATGCTAAGATCGTGACTGCAAAGTACGTTTCTCATTTTTACAAAGGCAGCTCGGGCTTGTTCTATTCGGCTTTTAATTTCTGCGGTTGGATCCCAGCTCTCATTGATATTACTGCCGAGATACACGAGTTTCTGTACTCTGTCCAGTGTGGCATCTCCGACTTTTATACCGTCATCATGTATATAATTTTGTTTGCTAACTATCATATATAACTAAGTAAACAGACAGTCGATGAGTTTCTAGCAAACGACAATGGAATTGTAGTGATTAATCAAGAACGTATTAAAGCCCGAAGTAATAACTCCAAATGAACGATAGATTATTTCCAACGTATGTCCAAGTATTCCGCATTCCGAACTGAAAACAACGGAAAAACTTAAGAATACATCTAATAACTCCAATTGACTTTCTCAGGATAGGGACTTCAAATCCAGCATTCAAGCATATCTTGAGTTTCCGACGATACACTTTTATAGCGCCAACTAACCTGAGACAAAATTATCTGATTCCGTGTTATTTAACCATGAAGATAACAACTATCGAATTTTCTTTTCCATCGGAAAGCAATCTTGCTACTTATGCAAGCAGCAAGGACATTTTGTATCTCGGTGTCCCAATAAAATGAATCAGACTCGTTTAAACAACACCCAAAATACTGTTCATCTAAACTCTCTACAGGAAGTACACCACTCAGCTCCCCTTTCGACAAATTCTTGTACACAATCCTCACCTAGTAAGACTGAAACTACAGTACAACAATCAACTCCTTAGTCGATAAATTTCTCTACATAATGATCTCTTACTGAGGCTAAAACGTCAAAAAAAATCATTACCTTTTAATAAATAAGTATACTCCGATAAGCTGCGACCTACCAATGAGAGATAAATAAGATCAAGATACATCCTCATCCCAGCATCCTAAACGCAATCAATCTAAAATAATATCCTCCGCAACTCCCCAATAAGAGATAACAACAGAAACCTAGTAGAAGGTCTTACTAAATGCACCAGTCAATTCTTCAAAAAAAAAATCCAACAATGGATACTTAACATAGGGCGAACTAATTGACTTCTTTGAAAATGCTCATGGTTCTTCAGATCCTGTCAGTATCGCCAGAACTTACTCGGAGGATATCGAAGGATTGATAGACTTTCTAAAGAAAATACATCCTATGTTAAGTCAAAGATATCTTAAATATAGATCGTTGCTCTAGAATTCAAAACAAAATTACAGAACAAATTTTACATAATACTTCTACCGATGATCCTAGCGATTCCTCTACGGTGACTTATTAATTAATCTATTTTTAATTTTATTATTCAATAGAACCTAAATGAGTACCATATCCATTTAGAAGATCTTAAAATTCTGATAAATAAATTTCATCCTTCTATCCTATGTTTGCAAGAAACACATTTCAAACGAAATTCGTGTCACAATCTTAAAAACTTCATGTCCAGACTACGATTAGGACACACCAAGATCACACATGATTTCCTACTTGTTTCTTCAGGTTTAATTAACAAAATCTAATTTTATTTTTTTTTTATATTTATATTATCTGTAAAATGGACCATTGCTAAAACCCTTGTGGTTGAAGCAGTTCCAAATAAAAAAAACTTTACAATGGCGACACTATAGCAGACATGTCTATAGATGCAGAAGAAAAAGGGATGATGAAATTAGCATTAAAGTAACAAATTAAAAAAAGCACAAATAACAATACGTAAATTAAAAAGAACAGAAAAGCCACAGGATCTCATGGCATACTAAATTAAATTTTAAAATATAGAAAGAAAGCAAACACTAATAACTACAGAAGAAAATAGTAAAAACCCTACCAATCATCATTAAAATACTTTGCTCAACACAACTCTTAAATTATTAACAATGATATTCTCCAATATGACATAATTTGTGAACAGCAATAAGGTCTCCGCAAGTTCAACAAAATAGGTTATGAATAAACGCTAAATCCATAGCCAGACAAATTGTTGGAAAAGCATTGGAAGATAAAGGATCAAACTCTTAGCTATATGTGCTTTGTGGTTTTGACTAAAGCTAAAAGAATTTGATTTAATTGGGTTACAAGATGTGTTAACATTACTAAAAGAAAGAACTAGCTGCCTTAGACCGCTCAGTCGGAATTAATATAATAAATTAAGACCAATAACCTTATATATATTTTTAATTTAAGAAACACTGTCGCCGATAACTATTAGTGAATCCTGAGTCGCTCTCAACTCCTTCCTTCATCTCTATACTAACATCTTCGTCTGCTTCGTTCGACGACTTGCTATTTTGACGACACGACTCTCCCCCGTTCTGCTTATGTGGTTATTTAATTTTTTTCTATTTAGTGTCCATTCGTTTATACACTGTAGATAACATTTTCGTCTAATATCTTCACTTCTCTTTCGATCTCTTAGCGTATTTTCTGTAATTCTTCTCAGTACTCTCATCTCTGCCGTTTCCAGTAGCCATTGTATTGTGGATGTGTTGGGCTTTATAACTTCTTGACTTTATCTCCGTGTTGATGTGTCTGTTTCGCCATATAGTGTTAATAAGGCATCCTTTGCTCCTTAGACTATTTGCTTTTTGTACTTGATCTTTCACTTCTTTGTCCAGGTCTCCATAGCTGGACAGTGTAATCCCAAGATGTGTTATTTTCATTACTTGGTTAATTCTGATGCCGTCAATTTCTATTTTACATCTGGATGGTTCTTCGCTAATTACTATTGTTTTAGTTTTTTGAGAAAAGCTTGTCATAATAAATTCTTTTGCTTTTATGTTAAATCTAAGAACCAGTCTTTGCCGACTATCATCTTGGGCTATCAATATTGCGTCTTCTGCGTAACAGAGTATTTTTACTTCTTGTTCCCCATTCTGAATCCTTTTCCTTTGTAAACGGTTTTGATGATTTCATCCATGATTAAACTGAAGAGCATAGGGCTCAATAAATCCCTCTCTCTTATTCCGCTGTCTATTTCTATGGGTTCTTTAAGTTGTCCCTCTATTCAAACATCCATTTTGTTGTTTTGTTAGATGTTTTCAATATTTTTTATAGTATTTAGGGGAACTTCTCTATTATATAAAAGATGGATTACATCTTTGTATATTACTCTGTCAAATGCTTTTTTTAAATCAATTAGACACGGAAATGCTGGTCTATTAGACTCTAGTGATTTCTCAGTAATTTGCTTTACAACGAATATTGCATCTGTACTGTACACGATCTTCCACTAAGAAAATGCTGTTGTTCATCTACTAACTAGCATCTAGCATGTTTTGATGAGTGGATCTGACTACCTATTCTGTCCTTAGTATTGAAATCACGAACTTTTTCTTGAACAAAATCAACGAACCTGATAAAAATGGGTATGTGACCACTAAATTGACCTGTTGACTTCATTAACAATCGGTAATGAGAAAAAAATAATTAGTATTTGAAATAAAGTATAGTATACTAAATATTTCAATATAAGGTTGAATGTTCGAATAAATGAACTTTGATGGTACACAAGGCGAATATCGAACACAGTAATTAATCAAATCTTGCCCAAGTACTTTCGATCACAAGATCATCCTCAGGGACATCTGAAATAAGCCAAGAAACGTTTTTTTTAAAAAAGGAAAATTAATTCACTTGGATAAAAACTCCAAGTTTATAGTTGAAAAAAGTTTTTTATGTGATTAACGTTTATAGACTTACTTCGTCAGTTGTGGCCTATCCAGCAGTAACAGAATGTCATAAATGTAAATTGGGACATAACAAATACACTAGACAAAGACAAACAAACACTTTAAAATTTAAAAATTGGAGAAGCTACATTTTATATAGAAGCCGGAGACAGAATGGCTCCCAGCCTGGCGGAGGCGGAAATATTGAGATGACATGTGACAAATGACAGCTTGTGAAGGGCAGTTACAATAGATAAGTGATCTGCGCCTTTCAAGATTCTATGAAACTAAGTATTGACCAAAGGTCCAACTGACACCACTATAGGAAAACAACTGAAGAAATATAAAATTATATCTAATATTTTTATGTAGATTGAATAATCCAGATCTCACACTCAAACCTGTCTATAATAATTAGGATGTTAGTTTGAGAGCAATTGAAGTTGACATAAAGTATGAATGTAAGAAATAGACTAAACAATATATTAGACAGTGGATAGTTGACTACAATAAAATGGTCCACTAAGCGCTATCAGTACTGTAACTACGCGCTAAATTTACTAAATATTTACCTGCTTTGTCCGTATATATCAACATTGACACCTATTGGCATATTCCTTTCGTTCAAGTCATATCTATGCACGCAAGTATGATCTGGAATTTCTTCAGCTAAATGTTCTTCTAAATCGTGGGTTTCAAAATAATTTTCATTTCTGAACCGTTTAAATTGATCAGTGTTCATAGCCGCATTAACGGTTTTTGGTCTTGTAACATAGAATTCCCCTTCTTCTTCATCCGCCTCTTCTTCGTCAGAATGATCAAATCTGTTGTTTGTAAAATTTATGTTTTGAAGATCCCCATGCTCTAAAAATAATTTAGTTTTAGGTGTCAGATACTAATAGTTTAGCATGTAACATACGGTGCAATTTGAGTATATACTCTTGATTTGTATATCCGAATTTATACCCTTCGGATATAATGCCCACAAAGACCCACGTCCCGCAGTACCTCTCTTCCAGTTTGACTTTGGTTCTGGTTGTATCTGATGAGGCCATAGTATTTATAAAAATATGAATTGAGACGCCGAATATATAAAAACAAATGACAAAAGGAACACAATTCGTCAAACTTTCCGTGAATTGGTATCAATAGACTGTTATGAGGTTATTTCTGTATACCCTACGTCTTCAGACAGTTCTGGGCCTTCCTTTTTTTGCCTTCCTATGGGCTTCCATTGTAACATTTTCTTTGTTGTTTTTGCATCATTTTGTCTCTGCACATGTCCCATCCATGACAATCTTTGACTTTTCACAAATCTTACAATGTCATAACCTTCATTTAACTCATTAACCTCGTCGTTTCTCCTGATTCTCCATGTGCCATCTTCCTCTTGTACTGGGCCATACACTTTCCTCAGTATTTTTCTCTCGAATGTCCTGAGTTGAGCTTCATCTTTTTTCGTCATTACCCAAGTTTCACATCCATAGGTTACTACGGGTCTAATCAGTGGTCTGTAGATAGTCATTTTGGTCTTTTGTCTAATAATTTCGATGTCATCAATCTTTTATTAGCATAGTATGTACGATTCTTGCTGGAAATACGTGCATTAATTTCGCTACTTACGGAGTTCTTCTGATTGATTTCTGTGCCGAGATATGTAAAGGCCTCCACTCGTTCGATTGTATAGTTGTCTATTGTGATATTATTTTCATTGTCAGTTATTCTTTTGACTGTCATACTTCGTTTTTGCTTCGTTTATTTTGAGACCTCTTTTTCTTGTTTTAGGATCAATTTGTTTGAACACTTCCATTAGTCGTGGCTTATTCCTACTAATGATGGCTACATCGTCTGCATATGAAGTAATTTGTACTAATTTGGTGTTTATATGGCCGGTTATATTGGTTTTTCTGATGACTGCCTCAAGAACTAGGTTGAATAGCATTACAATGTTGCCAGCAGTTTCGGCAAAATCGTAAAAAATGCGTAAATTTGTTTTTTCTTCAACGCCCTGTATCTTGAAAACGGATGGCGTTACAAAAATTTTTTACTAAACAAACCCCAATTATTTTTCAGTTTTCTACCTACCCTAGAAACGGGGTTACCTTTTTTTTAAACACCCTCTATAACGAATAATAGAATACACATACCTTTAACACCATTTCTTTGATTTACCGACAACTTCTTATTATATTTAGATCTAACACATGATCTTCCAGAAGAAGATGAACCATTTCCATAATTTTCTACGTAATCTTCTTTTTGTCTTCCATTTGACGAGATACCTTCATCGTTATCTTTGGGGTAATACCTAAAATGCTTTCCTTCGTAATTGCCTAGTGGTTTGTAATTCGATCTCTGTATTGGAGATACTTCTCTTTTCTCACTGGGTAAGTAGTTTGATCTGTGTTCTTCATCGTAAATATCAATGTCTTCAACTGATCGAGAGTTCTTTCTGAATAAGTTCGAATTCTTCGAATGGGAGTTACTGAAGTAATAAGCCGGTATGTGTGGTAGTCTACCTATATATAATTAAAAAAGAATGAGTATCTAATTCATAACTATAAAAACAATAAGATTTTAATATAGGCTAATCAATACGTCCACATATCAATTTTAGGAAACTTTCTTTGTATCAGGATTAGATCCACCATTTTATGAAAGAGTTTGAAGAAACTTTTATGACCTACATCTTTACTCTCCTGACGGTTTCCCAATAAAGTTCCCAACTTCTCCACCTTGGTTAACACCAATTCCCAAAATAAATAGTAACATTAGTATATACAAAAAAATGAGAACCTAACTGATCTGATCAGTAACTTTAAAAGAAATGAAAACTTATCATAATTAGTATGAGATATACACTGAGGTGTCCAAATCATCATATTCAAGATGTCACTGTACTTAATAAACTATCAGTAGGAAGCGACCACAGACCAGTAAGAGCTAGAGTAACGATAAATCTACAAAAAGAAAGAGCAAAGATGATAAACAGTTGCAAACGCATAGTTTGGAATTCACCAAATCATCCAGAAGCATACATAAAAAATATAGCCGAAACTTTACAGAGCAATAATCCCAAACCTCTAAGTATCGACGATCACAATAAATTAATATCAGACTCGGTTAGAAATGCACAACTCAAATTTTGCAAAAAAATGATACTAAAAGTGAAAAGATTAGCAAAAATACAAAAGCTCTCATGGAAATACGACGAAACCTAAGCGAGAACGAAAAGGGAAACAAAGAAAAATATAAAAAACTAAATAAAAGAATTTCAGCGGAAATGAGAAAAGATGTTAGAAGATATAATGCTAATGTAATTACACAAACAGTAGAAGAGAACAAAGGTTTAAAGATAATGAAAAGAAAACTCACACAAAGTAAAAAAGAAATATACAAGCTAAGAGATAAAGACGGAAAGGCCACAACAGATAAACAAAACATTCTGAAAATAACCAGAGAGGTTATTTTTTTCTGAGAGACACGAGTAAAGACTCTCGTAAATCAGGGATCGGAAATACTTTTACCCATTACTGTGTCAGAAGTAAGAGCAGCTTTAAAGGAAATGAAGAACTATCGATCGCCTGGTGATGATGGACTCGTTATCGAGGCAATAAAAGCAGGTGGAGAAATTTTTAAAAATCAGTAAGCGAACTGTTTAATAAATGCTTACATTCGCGTACGATTCCAAAAGACTGGAACAATGTAGTAATAGTCTTGTTACACAAAAAAGGCGATATTACTAAATTAGAAAATTATAGACCCATCAGCCTCTTGAAACATATATACAAACTCTTTATGAAAATCTTAACAAAGAGGCTAACACCTAAACTTGATTTCTATCAGCCCAAAGAACAGGCAGGCTTCAGGGCAAGATATGGCACAAATGACCATTTGCATATCATAAAGATCTTAATAGAAAAGTGCATCGAGTACAACATACCACTGGTTCTTGCATTTGTCGATTACGAGAAGGCTTTTGATTCTGTAGAGTTTGAAACAATACTGGAAGCCCTAAATCAAAGCCGAATAGATTACAGGTACACGACACTAATCAAAAACATCTACAAGAACGCTACATCAAGTATACGACTACACGAAGACACAGAAAAATTCAGTTTAGGTCGAGGAGTTAGACAAGGAGACAATATTTCACCAAAATTGTTCACGGCAGCTCTAGAGTCAATATTTAAGAGCACTCAATAACAGGATATGGGCATCAACATATATGGAGAAAGATTAAATCACCTAAGATTTGCAGATGATGTTGTATTAATCGCAGATAACTTACAGGATACAGTTTCTATGATGCATTCGCTTAAAAGTCTGTCTGAAAGAGCAGGATTAAAGATAAACTTTGAGAAAACTAAACTTATAACAAATCTCGTAATGAGTGGAAATATAACTATTAACAATAATAACATACAACAAACAGACACTTACAAATATCTGTGACACGAAATCAAAATAAGCAGAGACAATCAAACACATGAAATACAGAGGCGAATAGGCCTAACTTGGGCAGCATTTGGCAAATTAAGCCATATTCTAAAAAGTTCAATTCCCATGTGTCTCAAGCGAAAGGTTTATGACCAATGTGTTTTTTCTGTACAAACTTATGGAGCGGAGACTTTAACACTCACGCAAAAATCTGCGAATAAACTCAGAGTTACGCAACGAGCTATGGAACGTGCAATGCTGAACGTGAGCCTTCGAGACCACATAACAAACCAACAAATCAGGCAAAGATCAGGAGTTCAAGACGTCATCGAAAGAACCACATCGCTTAAGTGGAACTGGGCAGGGCACTTAGCCAGAGCACAAGATGGACGGTGGACAAGACGTATTATGGAATGGAGGCCCAGAAACTATAAAAGAAGCCGAGGACGACCACCGACTAGATGGACTGATGATATAAAACATGTAGCAGGAAACTGGCTACAAGCGGCCCAGTGTAGAGAACACTGGAAAGAACTGAGGGAGGCCTATGTCCAGCAGTGAACACGATTGGCTGATTGATGATGATGATGATCCAAATCATCAGACGGTATTGGTGCAGCCATTCTTACACCACATACGTCCACCACATACGAATTTAAATTCAAATCCATTGCTTCGTCATATATACTACAGAGTTGTATGCCCAAGCAGTTATCCATATTAAAGAGTCGAAACAGTCCCTGTCTCTTATTCACGAAGCTCGCTTCACATTATCAGACATTTAGATTTATATATCAATAATCCAATCGCCTTACAGATCAACTTCGACACAAAATAGCGAGTCTAAATAAAGAAGGTTACCGTCACCGAATTTGTATTTGTTCCATCGCCTTCTGGTGAAAAAAAAATAAAATGAAGAAGCTGACCATTTAGCCCGCTTGATATCTTTCAACCAGGACTCCAATCACAATAACGGGGTTTTTTATGATTTAAAATCTGAAATAAAATTTAAAGTATTTAAATGAAATCTAAGAAGCAAAGAAAACAAACACCATGGTTATCAGTAAGAGGAGTCTTAACAAGGATTCAGATAAAAAATGAAGATATTAAACAAATGGACAAAATAAAATACTTAAATTTCTGAAGATCTAAATCTGGAATCAGAAACTCGATCAAGAATAGAGCAACCAAAAGCAGCCTATTTGAATATGAGGAAATTTCTGAGTAACCAAAGACTAATAAGAAATCTGGAAGCTTTTGAGATGTGGCTTTTCAGAATAATTTTGAAAATACTACAAACCGATCATGTTACGAACGAAATGGTGTTGCCTAGAATGGGAAGAGACCGGGAACTCTTGACCACTATCAAAAGGAGAAATCCAGCATATTTGGGGCACATACTTAGAAATGATAATAACGAGTTGTTGTAGCTAATTATGAAAGGCAAAATCGAAGGAAAAAAGGGTCCTGGTAGATGACAAATATCCTGGCTGAAAAACATTAGCAACTGGACCGAGTTAAATACGCAGACGCTTTTAAGAAAAGCAGAAGATAGAAGAGACAAACTTGCAATGGTTATAGCCAACATTCATTTGTGGAGTCGGCACTAAAAGAAGAAGAAACACGTGACAAAATATTTGGAATGTATCACAAAAGAAACTAAAAGAAAATGAACAATTAGTGAAACAGTGGTCCAGGATTAAACAGATCACACCAAGGGAGAATAACTCGATTTCTACTGGGCCACAGTAACTTGGCTCATAAAAACGATTCAGTTAATGCGAACTGAATCATCAAAGTGCAAAAATTGCGGAACAATCCTTTCCGTGAAGTATATATTAACTCAGAGTAAACTTTGCAAAACTGCAAGAAAGAAGCATAATATCACAATGAATATAATCGAGCCTTATGAGAAAAAATGAATGTTACGGGTTATTTAAATGACAGTGGTTTATACAGTGCTAGTCAAAAGTTCGTTCCCCCCTTCGTATCTTTTGAACGGTTATACCTATAATAGTGAAATTTGAAGGGAGGTAATAAACAGACGTAGGCTTCTTAACCAGTTATAACAGGTGACGTAATAGTGACAGATGACGTTACAGCGCCACTGTGACAGATAATTTTAAATGGGACCTTATGACAAGTGATACCTCGTTTGAAAGGTATTAAAAATACCTATTCAGTCATAATAATTTTATTTGAGTTTAAGCTCATTTTGAAAAATAAATTAAATAAATACTAAAATTGTAGTTTCGCATTTAATTGATAAATATTAAAACCTCCGCCTCTTGTTACTTGTTAAAAAGTTGACGTTTTACAATTCTCTAATTTTTTTTACGTCAACGTCAACTATTTTGACAATTAACCAGTGCGAACGTTAGAATATTTATTGATTAAATGCGAAACTACAAATATTTAATATACCTATTCAATCACACTAATTTTGTTTGGACTTGCGATGCTTTTGACGAATAAATTAAATAAAAAGTCCTTGGTTATTTGTCAAAAAAAGTTGACGTTTGTCAATTCTCTAGTTGTTTTTAGTTTGCAAAAGCGTTTATAGCCCAATATTTAGTTTCTGTTTCTACTGAGTTTAGTCAATTCAAGTTTAGTCAAGATGTTTTTAGTTAGTTGTTCTTAGTTACTATTTAGTTTTAATTATTGTTTAACGAGACTTTTACATTTTTACAAAGGCAGAATGGTACGTATTGCAGCCGACAAAATAGCAGCTGTGTTAATAATTGGTGAATGTGGAAATAATTTCCATTCAGCGGAACGTCTTTTTAATGAGAGGTATCCCGATCGCCCTATATCAAGATCTTATTTGAGAAAGCTTCTTCGGAAGTTTAAACAAACAGGTAGTGTTCAAGATGTCAAACGATCTAGTCGACCAACAATTAGTGATGATAAAAAAAATTGACGTAATATCAGAAATGGTAGTGGACCCTACTTCTTCTACAGCCCAAGTGGCATCTATCTATGGAATCGGTCAAAAGACAGTACACCGAGTGTTGGCTGAAAACAAATTTAATCCATACAAATTAAAAATTGTGCACCAACTTTCAGATAATGACCCCCACCGAAGACTAGAATTCTGTGAAAATATGTCCAATAAAATTAACCAACAGCCCAATTATATAAAAACAATTTGTTTTAGTGACGAAAGTACATTTTCTCTCAATGGAAATGTTAACACACACAATGTGAGATATTGGAGTGACACAAATCCTCACGTCTTTTGTGAAACACATACTCAATTAAAAAAAAATGTTTGGGCAGGTATTTTGGGAAACCACATAATTGGGACTGTTTTTCTCAATACTAACTTAACCGGTGAAGTGTATCTGAAGATCTTACAAAATGCAATTGAACCATTAATACTTGAAACTCTGGAGGATAATCCAGATGAATTCGGCAACTTGGAAATAACGTTTCAACAGAATGGTTCTCCTGCACACCATTATGGTGCAGTAAGTGCTCAAGTTTGGTATTATATACATATGGACGTTCTATATGCTTTTGTTTACTTATTATTACGAGTATTTTGGTTTTCCGTATGTTCAAATCCAGACCTATCTCCCTACAACTCTCAACGACACTATCAAGTAGTGTTTGCAGATCTTCTTGACTAGAAGCTAGGAGAACTGTATCGTCCGCATATCGCAAATTATTGATGACCTCGCCGTTCACAAGTATTCTCTCTTGTTTTTTAGAAAGAGCTTTTTTGAAAATTCTTTCTGAGTAAACGTTGAAAAGCAGGGGTGACAAGAGACATCGCTGCCGTACTCCTCTTTTAATATTGAGAGCCTGTGATTCCACGCCATCTACTAAAACTGATGTTGTTTGATTCCAATATAAATTTGCAAATATTCGAATATCTCTGCCATCCAAGCCAATGTCTTTTAGAGCTTCGATCAATATAGAATGCTTAACACGATCAAATGCCTTTTGGAAGTCAATAAAACAACAGTATATGTCTAGTTTCATTTCCTCCAGCAAAACTTGTTCATAAAACTGGAAACGAAATTTCTGATGAGTATTTTGATATATTAGAATTAATCCTCATAAAATACCGCAGCTAACGACTGCAAACCAAAAACACTAATTAAGAGCCGTTCTCAGAATGTCTGGTAACACCTTGAAGTAGCTCGTTTTCTTGTATAGCTTGGCTTGTTTTTCTTACCAACAATTCCTCTTGTGCCCATCTTATCACAATACGCCACCTTCTGAATCTCAGCTTTCTAGCACTCCACCACTCTAACACCACACGCATATCACTCTTACATTTACTACTCTCTTTGGCTCAGCAAAAAAAGAACCCGTTCCTTGAAAGGGCAAAAGCCTAAACAAGGTAATAACATTATTTGATTGATTAGAGACAACAGAAATGAAAGTCTTAAAAATCCTTTACTTAAAATCCGAGGTAAAACAGACATGAACCTATAAATGAAGCAAGAAGAAGTTTAGAAATATCGAAAAATAGATTATATGATGCTGATCTAAAATAATATATAATATCCAAATAATATCCAAAAGGTACGATGTTTGTTTATTCCTATATTTACTTTGACATTATTTTAACGGCATAAAATATGCGACTCTTAAAATAAAATTTCTGTCCTATATTTCCTAATCTACATATATCACGTTTATTTTACTTCCGAAAATATATCAGAAATTCCAAACGATATTCGATTTACTTGGTTAGAGGTACTTATACAGTTATTACATACATGATTTGATTTTAGTAGCAGAACGTAAACGTCGTTACTGCACTCGACTAAAAGCTATTTTACTGTCAATAAAACATTCCAGTTAGAACAGTTTAATTTCTCATAAACTCAAATTACCTCTTGCTGATGTTGTTACCTTTAATATACTCTCCCGTAAAGAGAATCTGATGAAAGTACAGACATAAATTATTATATGTCCAGTACAGTTATTACGTAGTGTATATATATATATATATATATATATATATATATATATATATATATATATATATATATATATATATATATATATATATATATATATATATATATATATATATGTTTGTTTTGAGGTTTCCGCGGGAGCTATATGTGCTGTCACTATTTTTCCGGGGGGTTTGACTCCGCGTTGTAAAATGCTGGTTTTCTCGAAAACCATTGTTTTGGCAACGTTTCGGTAGAGTAGAGTGTAGAGTGAAGACCAGTACTAATCGAGTAACGACGAGAAGTAGATCCACCAGGCTTGATAATGGCAAGTGAGACCTTGCCGAAACGTCGCCAAAACAATGGTTTTTAAGAAAACCAGCATTTTACAACGCGGAGTCAAACCCGGAAAAATAGTGACAGCATATATATATATATATATATATATATATATATATATATATATATATATATATATATATATATATATATCAACAAATATCCTGGCTGAAAAACATTCGCGACTGGACCGGGTTAAACATAGACGCTCTTAAGAAAAGCAGAAGATAGAGATGAATTTGCAATGGTTATAGCCAACCTCCATTAGTGAAGACAGTACTAGAAGAATGAGGTTAGAATCTTGATTTTAGTACAAACATTACCTCTAATATACAGGGTGCGCCCTTTAAAAAAACTCTTGGTTTATTCCGTTGTACCTACTGACCCTGTATAATCGAAAATAATTTTGAATTATAGACGTCTTGATACACATAAGTTTTATTACAAAAAGTTTTTTATATACTTCATAATTTAGCCATAACAAAAAAACAGAGTTTTGCCGCACCCTGTATATTAGTATTATACTTACTCATTAATGTTGAATTTTTGTATTGGCCGATGTTCTTCAAGTACTCTAAATGTTCGTTATCTCGAAATACTTCGTAGTCTTTTCTTTGATCCGTAATTTGAAGATTTTTATTTAGACATTCTAGTTCTTCCTGATATTTTTGTAGAATTTCATGGTCAGATAGATTTATATTCTCAGCAGATGCAGAACCAGCTAAAGCAAAACCAATAATATTTCTTTTGCGAATCATTAGTTTAAAAGAGAGTTTAAATTTACAATTATATTATGGATATCCTACTAATATACGTATACTAGTATACGAGTAGAGATAAAAATATATTACCTTTACAAAAACAATGTAAAGAATGTCTCCCTTTTGGCAACTTTTCTTTGAACCTGTCTTCAAATTCTTCCAAAGACAAGCATTTGTTAGGTCTTCTTAACAGAGAGGGTTTTATCGATTCTTCTCTACAGTAACACGTGTTTGCGCCCATGCAGCATTTTCTGTATACACCTGTTTCTTTATCTGTTTTTCTACCTGCCTTATGGGGAACATCTTTAAGATATCTTCGAGGTTTTTCAAGGTAGTCGTCTGGATGAAGGAGGGCAGCAACTTTGGAGGAGTCGTTTCTTGTAGCCCAGTTGTTAAAGAGCAGCTGTTTGGGGCCATCTGAACCTCTTCTTTGTAGCGTATAAAATACAGATAAAAATTATAAAAGTAGATAATAACACTAGAAGGTTCGTTAATTAATACTTAAATTTTAGACTGTAAATTAATCATTGTCCATAATATAACGGTAAAAATAGTAGAAAAATTCTTAGAGTTGAAATGTTGAAAGTTGATAGAAAATAGCTTAAAGATCACAATCTACCATATTACCACCCCAACTCGGAGCTGGAAAAAGTGTATCAAAAAAACTATGGTAGTCGTTAACATAGTAAATTATAAGACAAAAATGTTCCATACATTATTTTTTTTTTTTTGAAAAGTCAATATTTTGAAGATAATGTTGTTTTAGTTTCGCAACGATATGTAATGTCTAAAACTATGTATGTAATATAAAATAGTACAACAGTTTGTAAACTGACAGTTCATAGCTATCTTGGTTAAAGAAATTTACTTATTTGTTATAAAGTATAGCTATCACAGAACTTTGGTTTTATATCCAAAACTGTCGAATATGGGTATCTTCTTCTTCTTCTTCTTCTTTGGGTGCCGTGTCCGTATTCAGACGTTGGCCGTCATCATGCTTACAATTTCCTGAAACCTTTCTCTGTCGGCTGCTGCGCGAAATAATTCTTCTACTGTGAAACCACACCATTGTCTAATATTACGCAGCCATGAAAGTTTCTTTCGACCAATCCATCTCTTTCCTTCCACTTTTCCTTGTATTATAAGGCGAAGTAAATGGTATTTGGGTCCTCTAATTATATGGCCGAAGTATTCTGTTTTTCTCCTCTTTATGATGTTTATGAGCAGACGTTCTGAGTTGATCATTTGAAGAACATCTTCATTGGAAGTGTGCGAAACCCACGATATCTTTAGGATTCGTCTATAGCACCACATTTCGAATGCTTCTAACTTGTTTAGCATTATGGTTTTTAACGTCCATGTCTCACAACCATACAATAGGATCGACCACACATAACATTTCAGGACCTTCTTACGAATGTTCATTGACAGGTTTCTGTTGCATAAAACTGGTTTCCAGGTCATAAAAGCCTTACGTGATATTTCGATCCTGGATATTATCTCTTCATCAGAGTCACAATTTACATTTAACCAGCTGCCAAGGTATTTGAAATGATTTACCCTTTCTATCTCTTCTCCATTAAGAGAAAGCAGACCTTGATCTATATGGATCTTTCCAACTGCCATCCACTTTGTCTTTGAAATGTTGATTTTTAGGCCTCTCCGATAACTTGCTTCACTGACTAGATTTAGTAATGTTTGGAGATCTTGTAAACTTTCTGCAAGAATGGCTGTATCGTCAGCGTATCTAATATTGTTGATTACTTCTCCACCTAGTCTTACTCCCTCTTGTCTGTCATCCAAAGCCTCCCTAAAGATTTCTTCAGAGTACAGATTAAAAAGAGTGGGTGACAAAACACAACCCTGCCGTACTCCACGCTTGATGGGTATTTTTTCAGTGGGACTATCTCCAATTTGGATAGAGGCTACTTGATTGTAATATAAGTATAAGAATATGGGTATAGGGAATATTTATATTTTTTGAAAGGTATTTGAAATATCTTTCATAAAATTAAAAAATATACTGGGTGTCACATTTAAAATAGAGCAGTTTTTAGTGGTTAAAGGTGCCACTAATAAATATCTAATTCGCAAACACCCTGTAAAATATTTTTGAATAGTAAGTATTTGATTTTAGAGTACAATTAAATCTTAATCTTTCATAAAAAAATTAATTTTAAATATTAGGAAACTTAGGAGTTATTGGCATGTTTTCTTCTTCTTAACATGCCATACACCAAAGTGCGTAGGCGACTATCTCATTACTAGAATTCTGTTCTTGGCGGCGTGACACAGCTCACCTGTATTGTGTATTCCTGTCCATTCTTTAATATTCCTTAACCAGGACAATTGTTTGCGGCCGGCTCCTCTCCTACCTTCGATCTTCCCTTGTAGGATTAACTGTGGTATTTCATATTTTGCTCCTCTTAATATGTGCCCAAGGTAACCAATCTTGCGTTTTTTAATTAATTCAAAGAGTTCTCTTTCCACGCCGGCTCTATTAAGGACGTCATCGTTTCGAACTCTATCCACCAAGGTATGCGCATCATTCTTCTCAATGACCACATTTCAAATGCTTCAAGTTTGTTGATAGATGTTTTTTTTCAAAGTCCACGTTTCCATGCCATAAAGCAAGATGGACCATATGTAGCTCTTGACCATTCTGTAGCGTATTTCGAAGTTTAGGTGTTGATTACATAGGAGCGGTCTGAATTTCACAAAAGCTTGTCTTGCCATTTGTATTCGGGTTTTTATCTCGTGTTGTGGATCCGATTGGTCATTGATTGTGGTGCCAAGGTATTTAAAAGTTTTCACGCGATTTATACGATTATCACCTATGCATAATATCGGGTTTTCTGGAGGGTTTCTGCTAATGACCATATATTTCGTTTTCAAAATGTTGATTTTGAGGCCATATTTTTTACTTATGCTATTCACCCTATCTGGAATGTTTTAAACATCCCTTATTTTTAAATATACTTGGATATATCAAAAACGGTATAAAACTCTAAGTATAACAAACCTTTAACAAAGTAACACTTATTTTGTTCTTATAATTCAAAAATGCAATAAAATACAGGGTGTCCCATTTAAAAAACATAACTTTGATGTGTAGCACTTTCCTGGAGCACCCTGTATAATTGAAATTATATTTCAAAAGTAGCCTTTTTGGATCAAGGCCTCGTAGCGTAAACCGATTTTTGAAAATAATACTTGTTTCGGCTGTACAGACCGAGGCGTTACCGGCGGCAAACCCTGTGTATAAATATATATATATATATATATATATATATATATATATATATATATATATATATATATATATATATATATATATATATATATATATATATATATATATATATATATATATATATATATATATATATATATATATATACCCGGTATTTAGGCGGCACACGCCCTTCCGATAGGTCGTGTGCCGCCTAAATACCGGGCCTAAACACCGAGCCGCAAGCCCTTATCTCTTGCCGTACTGCTCCACCATAGGCCGATCAGATACCAGCATATTCTAAACTAAGCCGCAGATTCATTTAGAATTTTAAACTGCTGCGTTAGCCTTTTTGTTTTCTGTTCACCGAGCTGGGGATTGAACTGACATCTCTCGCAGTGAAGCGAAGGAGAAGCCAGCCGCCCAGCCCCCTTGGCTATCCGATCGACTTTGATCTTATAACTACATTCAAATATGTCTAACTGTGACAATACATGAGAAGAATGCAAAATAATTCACTGAAATAAGCGAATCAAAAAGCGCTTAGAGCGGCAAACATTCCATCGGTAAAGAAAGGCATTGATGATGATGATGATATATATAAAAAACTGAATGAAAGTAATGTAAGACAGACCAGATCAAAGTGGAAAAAAATCCTGGAACAAACAAAGATTACAAAGGGGTGTCAAGCTATTGATAATGATTGGTTTTTGAATCAAATGAGGTGGTAATAATAGCACTAAAAGGTGACTTTTCAGAATTGCACTTCAGGAATGGAGCCCGATTATTGAAAAATCGTTGAACAAAGTATATCGAACTACACGGAGATGATAGATGAGATGTTATGAATAGGAAATACTTTTTTTTACTCATTTTTCACTACGACGCCGTGAATTCTTCATTTTACCTTTATTAAATTACGTGTTGCACGTGAGAGTTTTAAATCTCAATATTTTACATTGTATATCATTGATGTCCACAATTCTATTTAAATTAGAAGAAATATGTAATTATCATTATGTACATCTATAGTTTCTTTAATCTTTTAAATTCTAAAAACTAAAAAAGTAAAAGAATTTATCAAATTATGGCAATAAGATAAACATAATTATAATATATTATGTAATATCATTCACAACTCACCTTATCTCTGGACACTTCTTCGTAAAATGTTTCGACTGTATAACTTTTTTCATTTAAAAATAAAGTGATATTAAGCTATCAAGTATCTTTCAAAACTGACATTTTTAGAGAAGGGTGTTCAGTTTAAAAGTTTTCCCCTTCGGAAAGGTACACAATCACCTTAGTCACTATTAACAGGGCAATACAAACAAACGGCCAATACGGAAGTTTTAGTTTCTTTCACTGTAATTATGAGAAGAACATTTAGGAGTATTTAGGAATAGTTTGTATTATTTATGGAGTGCGTAAGGAAAGTGGACCAGTAATTTTTTAAAAGTTTAATAAAGGAGTTGTTAGGGAAATATTGGGCCTCATATATTATTAGTATCAAATAGTATAGCATATACCTAGGGGTTAAAGGGATTCATTGAACCATTGAACCCCGTAAGGGCACCGGCCGAGAGAGAGAACGATTCTCTATACGCACAAGCATGAACATTATAAAAGTTAATAAATAGACCATTTAAATAAATTTTCAAGACATCCTGGTAAACAAAATGTATGTATTAAATTAAGATAAGATTAGATTAACAGAAAGTCTTGCCTGTCAACAACTGATTTTTAAACACTTGCAAGTAAAATATTTTTATATAGAATTAGAAAGCCCATACTCATTATAATCTGATAAAAATGATCTATGAGCATTTTTGTGAAAAATGAACCGTTCTCTTACAAACAACGCTTGAATCGACCGGCTATTATTATGAGTGTCAATTAGGCGCGAAATAAATTTTTATAAAATTGTTAAATAAATAAACGTTGCACTATTTTTGCCATTTTTCCCTTTTTTCGATTTTCATGGGTTCAATAAAATGTATTACTTTTATTGACCGATCGTAGTAGAATTTCTATTGCTAGAACCTAATCCTCAGAACCTATAATATGAAATGTCGATTTTGAGTTTTGGCATCAAATATGAGGCATACCTATGTCTAAAAAATGCAGAATTTAAACTTTTAAAGTACAAACGATCACACGTGTCAAGAAAGGCATCCGCAAAGGCAGTATTAATTGTAATTTGTAGCTGAAGTTGTGTAGTCTCGAAAAATGTACTTGTATAATCAAGAAAAAGCAGTTTTAACCATTTTAGATCGTTTGTGATGTAAAAGTTTAAATTCTGCGTTTTTTAGGCATGTTTCAAGTGCCTCACATTTATTTCCAAAACTCAAAACCGAAATTTTATGCTATAGATTATGAAGATTAAGATCTAATAAAGAAAATTCCATAGAGAGTGGTAAATTAAAGTGATAATTTTTATTGATCTCATAAGAATCATAAAAAATGACAAACATCAGGCAACGTTTATTTATTTAACACATTTATAAAAGCTAACTTCATCTAAGTCAAAATACAAAAAATGCATACAAAAGCTGCATTTTTCACCATTTAAAATCATTTTGATTTTTGTCAATAGGACACTTTGATCAAAAGATATATAATTTTTACCGTGGAGTTGATACAAATTTCATTTAGAATTGATATTAATTAATTAATTGCCGGTCGCTTTAGGCCTTTTTTGAGAAAACGATTCATTTTACACAAAATGGTTAAAAATATTTTTGGTTAAAATTATTTCAGCTACATTTTTTATTTGAAATATTTTTTATGCGACATACAGATTCTGAGTAAAGATTTTTCCGTCTTTCACCCCTCCCCTACAATGTGGAGGTTTAAGAGAAGCCTGGGAGTAAAAGTGGTAACTTTTTTTTATTTAAAACATAGCAGATGTAACGAAGACAGTTTTCCTGGAATCTTTTACACCCAAGAACAACATAAGTGGCTTTTTAAAGCACGAGATTTGGTCATTCAATAGACTTGCATTTGGAGATGATGATTTCGCGCCTATTGAAATTTTTGAAGACGACTCTCAACCTCCAAATGTAGATTCTCAATATTAAAATAAACACGAAAAAATTAAATAGGATCCAGAGACACAAGAAGTTGAGTTCTTGGATACAAGTCAAAATGAACGAAAAAAAAATGAAAGATACGAAATGCGATCTGATGAAGTTGAACCTCTAGATGAATATACCGACATTCTTGGGTACTCAATTATTATTCCATCTCCAAAAGTTGGTGCATCGTGTTTTATTCTACTATATTGTCACCAATCGCTATATTCAAAAAGAAATATGAGTCAAAAATCTTCTAAAAAGGGAAGAGAAAAATGGAAATCCAGAGTTTACATTGATACCAGAAGAGGATAGATTACAAATGTACAAATTACAAGCTTATGTTTTCACCCAATAGTGTTTTCAATGGGAAGGTTAGGAAGTTGTCATGTATTTAAAGGAAATGTAGGAGTTAAACAAGAACTTATGTTGTAACCTCGGAAATCTTTTTTGGATGGTGCTAGAAAGATAACCAATGGAGACACTGCGGACGGCAGCCAGATGGTTGGTGGAGAGCGAGTCGTGGGTTCGACACTAGCTTTTGGAACCGGGATTGGGTCCAACGGACGAAATAAGTAAAGATAGGATAAGAGATATTAGAAAAGATATAGAAATAAACAAAAAGATAGATGGGTAAAATTACCAAAGATAAGAGAAGATAGAAACAGGGCGCCACTCAATTTTTTGGGGTTAAGGAGAAAATTAAGAAACCTTAGAAAAGAAAAGAGATAAGGAAAGATATCCTTTAGAGATCAGAGATCAAACCCAAGGATAGATACCAACAAATAATTATCAAATAAATTTGGTCAACACAATATATAAACAAATAATAAATATATTAGGTATTACACTTACTTACCTACGAAACTTAATCAGCCTGATCTTTCTACTGGTCAAGGTATAGTAATAAATTAATATACTAAGCAAATATTTAGAGCTACTATTTTATCAGGGAACTTGTTAGGAGCCGACAAATAAAATACATGCATAAAACATTAACAATATATTAAACACAAAATTATGATGCTGCTAAATGCAACACAAGTAATAAAAATACACAACTATGAAATGGTGTTATATATGTATAAAATTAAGCAATAATATAATAAAAAATACCTTTACCAAGATATATAAGGCAATCATATACAAATATAGTTTGGCGTATCTCGAGATATTATAGGAAAGATAATGAGCAAAAATTACAGCAAATGCAAAAGATAGCAAAAATTTTTTAACTCTAGACAAACAGAGTTTAAAACATTAACTAGCCAAACATCACTTGGCTAGGTGGGTTAGTATCTCACACTATTAATTAATGCTAAACTGAGATGTTCATAGTTATTATTTATGGAAAGTTCTTGAATTGTTCTTGAATTAAATATAAAAATCGGCAATCTACAGATGAAGATATGGATGAATGATGGGTGATACGTCCAGATAATGGCAGGTGATATGATACCATACCATATTACTCGCCCAGATAATTTGCAGATAAAGATTATGGTAACTTACATAATTCCTGATGACGGCAGCTTAATTCACTGAATTTGATATACTGTACTGGTATTCAACACTGAATTTAATTAGGTGCCATTAAAGGTAGTGTAGACTATATAACTTAATATAGTCTAAGACAAGAAAACTGAACTATAGAGTGTATACACACTTAGAAAATAATTCACAGAGACGATAATTTCAGGCAAGCGACCGCACTCAACGAGAGCCCACCGAGAAGTCTCACGAGATAATCGACTTGTGCTCAACGAGAGCCCACCGAGAAGTAAATTGGTTTCACTAAAAATTTCACCAACTATCCAAGAAAAAAGAAGAAGAGGGTATATCCCCCACTTAAAATCATCGGACAGTTGTAGGTAATTCTGAGAAAGTACAAATTCCGAAAGTTTTGAGTTACCGGTACCAACAATTGGACATGAGAAGCAGACAATACTTGGGATTAAGTTATTTTCAAAAGATACGGGCCTTCGGCGAAAATTATCAATTTATGTAAAAGAACGTGCATACCCAAAAGCATTAGATCTTTTCATACTGAGTATTAAGACGGAAAGGATTAACTACCTTTAGTATCTAATTAGGGAAGTCCATTATAATTTAGTAGATCCAATATTATTTTCTTACCGTAAACACGGGAATTCCTAATCATCGGCGTATCGCACGGGGGTAAAAGAAATTAAAAATAATTAATATTTTAATAATAAAAAAAATGTTACAATGCTCTTGTTTTCCAAACGTAAAAGACAAAGCAAGTGTTGATTTTAGAGATGTAGTTTTACACTTACCTAAACGTAGCTTTTACAAAGGCACATTACGAATTTCGTCTCATATGTTTTCGATTTATTTAACTGCATAAAATGTGTAATAGAAGCGTTCACTAACCGGATTCATCTGCTATTTTTCAGTTCCAAATTTAAAATTCGGGTATATATGGAGGTACCCCTAATCTGTTAAATAGAAAATGTGTTGAAACAACTCCCAAGAACTTCAAATCTCTCCATTTGTTTCATATCCCATCATCATTTTGGCTGTACAACCCTGTGTGGGTCCTAGCCTCCTCAAGAATACTCTTCCAGTCCTCCCTATCCATCGCCTTCCTTCGCCAAGCACGTATTTCCATATCCCAGTAAGATTTATTTGTTAAACGTTGTATTTAATTGGTTATTTTTTATGAATTATTTAATAGACAGAAAACGAATGTAGCTTTTTATAGATTTTTAGTTACAGTTTTCGTAGTAGAAAAAATTATAATTAAAATTGAAGTGATTTTATTTTGAATATTTGCTTTAAGTTATATTGAACCCTCTTTTTATATTAGATAGGTACATTTAGAAAAAATATATACCTACCATGTTTCAATCTATTTTCCATCTACTTACTTTTGAGGTCTTATCCTTCTTGTTGGCCATCAAGACTTCTAATTCCGTAAAAAATTTTAATAGAAGATAAAAATAGTTAAGATAAAAATAAGCTAAAGTTTTTATCTGTACAAGGCCAAAACTTGTTTATTCCATTTACTAAAAAGAAGAACAGTCAAGTTTCGTTAGCTATTAGCTAGTTGACTGACGTTTAGAATCAGCTGTCATGGTTGTTTAGTTTTGAGTTTTGTTTTAATTTTTATTTACTATTTATTTTAGTTCGGTTGATTGTTAATTTTAAGATGAAACTGTAGTGTTTATATAACAAGAGGACAAATATGGCACCCAGAAAAAAACAAAACAGTCGTAAGAGAAAATCTCTGGATGAAAACAAAAATGAAAGTGTAACATTCTCTAAAAACTTATCCCAAAAATATATTGAAAATATTAACGTAACTTTTGATGAAATAAAAGAAGCTGATTATGTAAAGAAAGTATATAACAACAAAATTGATAATAATTTTGTAGAAGAATCCAGTGCTGTTTTACATTCATGTCAATTATGCTGCAAAATATTTTCTGTCCAAAAAGATTATGAAAACCATATGAAAAATTGTACCAATAGTAATTCTGATATATCAAACGTGCGTTTTATTAGTACTAATGAAACTACTGAAACTGTTCCTATTCAAGATGACAGCACAACTGTATCTCCCAACAGAAACACTTTCTACCCTTGTCAAAATTGCATTAAAGTTTTTCCTAGTGAGAAAACATGCAAATCACACATGAACCAATGTATTAAAAAGAATAACCTGAGAAATAAAGAATTAATAAATACAAAAACCAAAGAAAGTGATAATCCAAGGTGCCAGTCTCCATATACAGAAAGTGACAAGTTTAATGATGTTTCTGATACAACAGAAATCATTGAAGAACCTATCACAAAACAACCAAAGTATGATATCTCCATTTATGATTATGATGAAGTAGATTCAGAAGATGACACTCCTAAGGTAACTAAAGACACCAAGTGTAAATTTTGCGATTTTATAGCTGAAAATCCAATGGAGCTTTTAAAACATAAAAGAAAATTTCACACAGCAACAAGATATATACTACCAGTACATGAAATTCGAAAATATTTTGATTATCCTGACAGATCATTTTGCCCTATATGCGAACAGCCAGTGAAAACAAAAAACTTCAGATCCATTTTTATTAGACATTTACTAGTTCATGCTCCTGGATTTACCTTCCAATGTAGAATCTGCAAGAAAAGATTCAGAAGGCATGACCATATGAAGGCCCATGAAAAAAGGCATGTACTCACTTATGCTGAACTTCAAGCTCTTCAAGAGAATGTGAATAATGATCAACCAACTGAAGAACTCATTATATCTGAATAAGGAGTCAAGGCAGCGCATATTTGATTAGCTTTCATGATTAGTAACACATTGGAATGTTTTCCTTCTTGTGTTGTTTATTAAAAGCGAGTTGACAGTTATATTTTTATATCACATTTACATTTTTATACTTTAATCATCTTTTTTCATTCTATTTATTGATTATTTCAATTGTCATAAAAATTAACTTGTTTTTTTTTTACACAAAGTATTCTCGCTGTTGGCTGCCTTTCTTTACTAATTTCTAATATTATTTATGTAATTTTTATATTTTTTGAGCTTAGCATCGTGGAGTAAAATTTAATTATTTTTTATAGACACTTTTTTTAATGCCACAGCTGTCTGTTTTTCTTACTTTTCACTATTAAGGTATTCTGCCACTATATTTTTTATTTTCTTTATAATGTAGTGGTATTTTTCCATCCAGATACTCTCCTGTTCTAGACTCTGTTTTTATATTTTTTGGTAGGATCATTATTCACATGTTTTTTTGTCAGTATTGATTCATTAATATATCGCATCCTAAGTGCAAGACTGCAGTAAGTCGGAATAAGTAAGTTTCGAGATAAAGACCATTTTGTTTATTTTCGTGCTAATATCAGTGAAATAAGACACAATTTTTAATAAAAAATTTACATTTATTTATGATTTTGCATGCTTTTTGACCTATATTACATTAACCAAAAATAGAAATTTAAATATTATGAATGCTAAAAAAATTAGGAATTTCAAAGTTACAACACTTTTGCATGAAAATTGTAAAAAGTGTAGACACATTTTCTGTTAGTTGTTGTCCTCTTCTCGTATATCATCTTGGGCCAAAAATTTTTATAAAAACTATGGTGGGCTTCTGGTATCATACTCGAATGGCATAAGTATATTAAAAGTTTCTTAATTCCTGGTGTTTGGTATATACATTTAATAAATTCGAATAAATCATTGGGTTAGTAAAGAAAAAAATAATCCCCAACAGCAATCAGGGTTTAGTATGGTATTAAACTTTACATTTAATAGATTCCAAGAAATCAGATAGCTACCTAGAATAACTAGGTACCTAATAAAACGGCTCATCGCTAGCGGCAATTTCATGTTTCTATCTCTGCACATGACATGTTTCTCATAGCCACAATTCCTTCGCTTTGTAATGACAATGTCATAACAAAGGTAGAAAAATTATTTGTAAATCTTTCAATATTTTTATTTAAATCCAAAACAAAAGTACTATAATAAAAATATGCAAATCAGTCTACATTGAGTACAGTGATTAACAAAAGAATTGAAATTCACTACCTTAGTAAAAGTTGGGAGTTACAGGGGGACAATATGATAAGACAATCGCCCCGGAAGGTTACATGAAGATTTAATACAATTTGGGATTTAGTTTTTATAGAACAAGTTTTCTGAGAATAGATATTTTTTACTTATCAGTATGAGTTAATACACAAGTTTTAATATAACTGTTTTTCCTTTCATAAGAAAAAATACTTTTTTATGTGTTTTTAATCCAATCTAATAAATAAATGGTCTAACAACATCGCACACATTTTATGGAAAATATAATGTTACACAAAGGACATAAACCTTACATGAATAGATAGGTCTCGTAAATTGTTGTTTATTGTCTCGGCCGTTAATGGATTACTTAGACACGCTGTATATTAAAATTAAACATCACAGATATAGATATGAAAATAACAAATATCTTACTTTTTTCATGTCTTTCATTGCTTGTTATCGAAACCATTGCAATGTTGTAACTCTGTTACATTAGAATTACAACAGTTTTGCACAGAAGTTATGTACAAAAACGCAAAATAGTTAAACTCTTGTTGTAATATTTAGCCAGTTAAGCATTTGAAAGTTACTAACGTTTTACAGGGGATAGATATGCATGTTTACAATTGAATTCCATGATTACTCCATTTTCATAAAATTTTGAGTTACTGCAGTCTTGCACTGTGGGTGCAATGATGTAGATTATTGTGTTCAGTCTCTCTATTGCATATTTTGCATCAATATTTTTTTGTAGAATAACAACAATATTGCTCATCTATTTGTTTTAAGCTGTATTGTTTATTTAAAATGTTTTGTATCATTTAGAATTCTTATTTAAATGAATATCTTTCATTTTTAAATACTTTATTAGAAAGAAATGTGTTTTTTGGTTGTTTTATGATGATTTTTTATTTTGCATACTTTTTAAGTTATTTATTGTAGTAAGTTAGCCCAAACTGTTGTTGTGATGTATTTTAGTGCCTTATTGTATAAAGCAACAAAAAATTCAATGCTTATAGGAAAGTTAAGGCAGTGGCACATACTAAAATTGCTATCATGTAATTAAAGATAAAAGAAAAATATCATTTTGCTCATTTATAATTCAGTTTTTCACATATAAGGTGAGACTTCAGTTCTCCAAATTTTTTTCATCAGTTGAGCAATTCAATAATTTGTTTAAAAACAGCATATTTCTAATTCAATGTTTTTTGGCACTTTGTAATTTAAATTTTTTAAGATTATAAATTGTGTAAGATGGATAGGTTTATTTCTAGAATGCCGATATTTCTGCCAAAGTTAATCGGTTTTCTAAGGAACTAAACTATTTACATTTTGGTGCGACATTTCTTTTTCCTAATGTAAATTTAGTAATCTGTTAAATATTCCTTAGCTCTAGAAAATTTTTTATATATCTTGTTCTCCAAAGATTTTGTTGAATTATAGTCCATTTGGAATCCTCCATCATTTCATCCCTTATTTGGCAAACTGAAGATAGCTGGTCAAGGAATAAGATGAGAAATAATGAAGAAAGAAGATTACAAAAGAGTGCAGAAATTGCAAAAATTTAGAAAGAGCAAATCCCCTACATAAAAAAGTTAAAACAGTTCTGTTGATGTATATTAGATTAAACATTCTCGGAAATAATTATAGTTTGTTGTATTGCTCATAACATATACTAAAAATATGTTCCAAATTGAAAGCGGAAATGTTAAAACTTTAATTGTTTTCATAATTATTATGGATTAATATTCCCATCTGTTTAGAAAGTTTCTATACCTAATATGTGCCTATTATTACATATATTTAACAATTCTTCCAAGGAGTATATAACGTTATTGTTATAAAACTAAAGTTATTCTGTTAGTACTGTATTTGTTAGTTTTTAGATTATAATAAAATTATATTAAAAAAAAATGATTTTATTTAATTTTTTGTAAGTAATAGCAATAAATAAATAATGAGGATGTGGTAAAAACCATTGTTCTAAAATGGCGTTTTTACCAAATAAAGAAATTACCATTTGGTATATCCATCTTTTCTCGCCAATATTTCAGTAGGGGAAGGGCGGGCAAGATGGCATACTTAGTTTATTTTCCATATATCTGAGACATAAATAGAGAAAAATCATTCCTTTTGATGTATAATGATAGCCAGGTCATTTTTCTACTATTCTAAGTAACAAAAAATCACTCATACAAAGAGATTTATTTAAAAAAAAATCAAAATCAAAATGTAACAAAAAACCATTTTGCCCGCCCGGTGCGGGCAAAATGGCATACACATAAACAATAGTGTTAAATACAAAAATAATTATAAATTTTTATTTTTACGAAGAAAAAAAATTGAAATTAAACATTTTAGTTCAAACAAACTTCGCAAATAAATTGTTTTGCTTTTTTGGGAAGTCCAGCACATTCTGAATGTGACAAGTTTTGGCAAATTTGGCATCTTAACCATCTTTCATTAGATTTGGACCTACTAAATGTATCATTGCAGTAAATTCAAGCGCAATCTTCTTGTTCATCATCATTAATACTAAAGGGTTCTTCTTCATCACTTGATATATTGTTCAGTATTGGTCTGATCACAATATTTCTCTTGCCTATTCTCTCCGACTGATGTCTATCTTTGTTTACATGCATCTTCCATCACTTAAATCATTGACTATTTTTCTTCTCACGACGTCCCCTTTTCTGCTTTTTATTTCTTGTGCTTTTTTTTCATTTTCTTTTTCGCGGAGATATTTCAGGAAGGGGGTCTCGGTTAATACATCTTGGTATTGACCAGATTTGCGTTTGGTAGATTTTCTTACATTACTCTGAGGTACCGGTGTCAATTACATCAGGATTCCTTCAACAGATTCATCTTTAGAACCAGATGCCGATGGTTCTTGGACATCATGATGATCGTAAGTTGCAGCGTGAGGAACATTAACATCAGCAGGTAAAGATGTAGAAGCAATGTCAGGTTTATTAGTAGAACCAGGCACATCTGTAGTTGCACTAGGCAAAAATGCATGCTCCGGAAAAATGTCACGATTTATAGGTGATATTCCTGTGGCCCGAAAACCATTGATTGCGATTTCAATATTTGCTGTTTTCTCATATGCTTTCTGGAAGAGACTGGACACTTGATATATGGTTATTGCACGACCAGGATTTTCTCTGAGCCAATGAGTAACAGCTTGGTTATAATATTTATGGAGTGGTCCGAAAAAGGCAACATCCAATGGCTGAAGGTGGTGCGTGCAGTGTGCCGGCAGGCAAAGTAATACCACTGAATTCTGTTTAGCTAATTCTAAAGCTTCGTAGCTTTTATGGCTGGAGTGTCCGTTTAAAATTAATAATGCTTTCTGCGCAGGATTCTGTTGCCAGGGAGCCGAAATGTTTATTTGCTTCAATGGCAAGTTTATTTTTATTACCTTCTCGACGTTGTAGTGTTGAGAACGGTACATGAAATGTATTACTTGCTTTAAGCCAACCCATTTCGGAATTTCGGACTGCCTCCAAAGCTCTTTGCATGTCTCCTCACTCCAACTATTTCTGTTAGACTTCCTTTTATATGAATAAACCATCTGCAAAAAAAAACTGAATATGTACCTTAACCTGAAAAAACAGACGGGCAAAATGGCATAGTATGTTATTTTGCCCGCCATAATGCTATGTCATTTTGCCCGTTTTGTATTTGTCGACTACTGATAGTTGAAAAAATTAATAACGAAAATAAACAAAATTTTTATTTAAGGTCACATGCAGAGTAGAAAACGTAATTGTCAAAAATAGAATTCAAAAAGCTCTATAACCTTAATTTAATAAATTATTGAA